CACGGTGACATCTCGCCACTATGAGGATGGCCGGCATGCATTAATCAACGGCGTCATACATACACACGTCCTCAAGGGGCTCACGAGCGGCTACAACCTTCTGAAGCGACTATCGGTAGCGCCGAGCACGTGGGCGACACTCAACAAGGATTCTTTGACCTCGTATATCCTGCAGGATGAGGCGATGCAAGAAGCCGAGCGGCCCTCGGAGCTCTTGGCGCAGGGGAATTACGCCGCCCCAATAAAGCAAGGTGGTCGACTGGGGCACCGCAGGCAGTCTGGCGGTAGTGGAAGCAGTAGGTGGAAGTTGGCGAAGGACACCGAGAAGGAGAAGTCGGCCAAGGATGGCGGTCGAGGAGGAGGAAGTCGGCGTTGAGAGTGCTGGATATGCAATAGCCCCGACCACCTCTCCTCGAGTGCCCCGATCGCAGTGACTCTGACAACGACGACGCCAAGGGAGGCCTCGGGAGGTCAGCCAGCCGTCGCCCACGTCTGCCGCGTAATGACAAGTAGTCGAACAAGTCGACCTCGGCGAAGGACGCCGACTCCTCTTCTGGTGGCAAGGGGCGAGAGGACAAGGAGGCGTCGTGCTCGCTGGTCGGCGTTGTAGAGCCGACCGTCTCGTTGGCGATGGAGGTTGGCGAGAATTTCCAAGCGATGGCGGCGGCTGTGTATGCGAACCCGGCGGCGATCGTGCTCGACAGCGGCTGTTCGCACCACGTGATGGCGACGAAGGACGCCTTCATCGACTTGGAGCCGAATGGCGACGTCAAGCACCTGCACGGCTTCAACGAGGCGCTACAGGACGTCGAAGACCGGGGCACAATACCTCGCCTATAGAGGATGCTGATCCTCGACGTACTCTATGTCCCGCGCGTGCGGGCAAACCTGCTGCCCGCCGGCCAGCTAAAGGAGAATGGCGTGAAGCTGCAGGAGGACGGGGACGGGATGTTGCTCATCTTGGCAGTGGGAGAGGTGCTCGGTCGGGCGATGTACACCGCCCGTGTCCTCTACACCGACATGCGTCCCTGTTCGGCAAAATCAGCGACGTCCACGACGAAGGTGGTGGCTATGCGCGCGATCGACTCAGCGACGACATCGACGTCAGACCGGCTACACGCGAGGCTCGCCCACGTTGGCATGGACACCATCCGAAGCTCGGCGAAACACGAGGTCGCCATTGGGCTGGACCTCAAGTCTGCGTCTGGTGCCGACTCGCCGTGTGTCTCTTGCGTCAGCAGGAAGCTGGTGCTGCAAACGTTCCCCGACTAGGGCTCCGACGCCGATGTCGTGCTGACCGTCGTGCACATCGACCTGTGTGGGCCATTTTGTGTGGCGGCCAAGGACGAGAGTCTGTGCTTCCTACTGCTGAAGGACCGCAAGACCCGCTACGTGTGGGTGAGGCCAGTCGCGAAGAAGTTGGATGCACTGCGGGAGTTCTGGCGGTGGCTTGGAGTAGTTGAGCGGAAGACAAAGAAGTTGGTGTTGATGCTGCTCTCTAACAGGGGAGGGGAGTTCCTCGGCAAGCAGTTCATCGACTTCGTGGATGGCAAGGGAAACGTCCACGACCTGACCTGCCAGTACACCCCGCAGCAGAACGGCATGGTGGTGTGGGAGATGCGGACGGTGGTGGAGTCATGGGCATGCAGCACCACTGGTGGCACCTCGCTCTGCGGCAGGCCGTCTGGGTCCGCAACTGTCTCGAGCGGTCTGCGTTGCCGCCGGAGATGGCGCCGTTCCAGCTGCTCATCGGGAAGAGGCCCGACCTGTCGCTGGCTCGTGTGTGGGGCTGCATGGCGTAGTTCCTGGTCCCCGAGCAGCAGGGCGTGGTGGTAAGCTAAAGCCGAAGGCCTGGTGGAGCCTTCATCTCGGCGTGTCGGAGGAGAGCAAGGGCTAGGAGCTCCTCAACATCGCTAACAATCCGATGGTCACCACTTCAGACGTGGTGATACACAAGACCATGTCGCTGGAGGTGTGGCGGTCGGAGCACGGGCTGACGTCGGGGAGGTCACAGGTCAACCTGCCATCTAACACCTCGACAGCGACACTCCCACTTCTCGCCGAGGTCGGTAAGCTTGCCTCCCTTCGTGGCCGACCTGCGTGGGCTGACTCCGGTGTCGGCCTCTAGCGCAAAGAGGATGGATGGTGCGTCGCCTGTGGCGCCGACCAAGTACATCGCCGGTGGCCGACATGACGCCCAGCCGTTGGGAGTGGATTCGCCGCCAACAGGGGAGTAGCGGGCCGAGATAGTGCAAGGGAACGGGCAGCCGCCGATAGGGGAGCAGGCAGCAGTGAAGCCGACAAAGGAGCAGTTGGTAACCGAGCAGTCGGCATGGGAGCCAACTGCAGGGGAGAAGTTAGCAAGGATGCCGACTGTGGTGCAGCATGACGCTGAGGGCAGCGAAGCCGGTGACGATGGAGGGGAGCAGTCGGGAGCCGAGGAGTCTACTGACAGTGATGTAGTGGAGGTTAAGCCTGGGCCACGGCGTACATGCCGCCTGACTTCTTCGTCCCGGCCGCCTTTACCACGGTGTACGACGTCGACGACGACGACCTGGCGTACGACGACGCCAAGGAGGATGAAGAGCTGTCGGAGCTCGACCCCGACATGCACGCCGACCCCGAGCACCATTGGGATATCGCGAGAATGACGGTGAAGGAAGCATTGGCGAGCTGGAAGGGCAAGGCTGCAAAGGCCTCCATGGAGGAGGAGATCCGCAGCCTCATCAGCATGGGGACGTAGGAGCTGGTCGAACGCCCACTTGGGGTGAACGTCATGAAGAACCGGTGGGTGCTGACAACGAATTACCGCATTGACGACACGGTTGAGCGTGAGAAAGGTGAGGCTGATCGTACAGGTGTATGGCGCCGACTACGACGAGACGTATGCGCCGGTGGGCACCTACGTTACATTAAGGATCTTCCTCAGCATCATCGTCGTCCTCAACCTCAACCTGATGCAGCTCGACATGAAGAACACGCTTCCTGCAGAGCAAGCTCGGCCGGGTGCTGTACATATACCAGCTGGACTACTTCAACGACGGGGCCGGCCGCGTGTGCAAGCTGCCGAAGAGCCTGTACGGGCTGAAGCAGTTGCAGCTGCTGTAATACAAGGCGCTCAACGACATGCTGCTTAGCGCTGGGTGGAAGAAGATGTCAGAATCCCAACCATTAGACCATTGGGATAAAAGGGCTTGTTAAGTAGCGGGTCAGAGTGCGCCCATATAACCCCCCAGGCAAACGCGCCTGTAAACCCCCGTAGGATCAATCGGGCATCCACAGTGCAGATCTACTGACACCCCCCCACACTGGGAGGCCCAGGACTAAGCACAGCGGCAACGGCCTACACGTGCATACACCGGGATTCGAACCCGAGACCACTCTAACACCATGTCAGAATCCCAGTCACTAGACCATTGGGATAGAAGGGCTTATTTCAGTAGCGGGTCAGTGCGCCCATAACCCCCCAGACAAACGCGCCTGTAACCCCCCCTAGGATCGATCGGGGATCTCACAGTGTAGCTCTACTGACACCCCCCCACACTGGGAGGCCCAGGACTGAGCACATTGGCAACGGCCAACATGTGCATACACCGGGATTCGAACCCGAGACCGCTCTGATACCATGTCAGAATTCCAACCACTAGACCATTGGGATAAAAGGGCTTGTTAAGTAGCGGGTCAGAGTGCGCCCATAACCCCCCAGGCAAACGCGCCTGTAACCCCCCGTAGGATCAATCGGGCATCCACAGTGCAGATCTACTGACAGAAGAGTCAGGTCGACAAGGCATTGTACTTCAAGATCGGCGTCGACAAGGTGGCCTGCTGGGTGCTGGTCTACGTCGACGACCTGCTCGCAGCACCGAGATGCTGAGGGAGCTGTAGGAGCTGCCGGAGGCCGCCTTCGAGCTGCGGGAGATCTCGCCGGTGTAGAAGTACCTCAAGCTGGAGATCATTCGCGACAGGTCGGCGAGGAAGCTGTGGCTGCACCAGCAGGGCTACGCCGACAAGCTGTGCAGGCGCTTCATCGACGAAGAACTAAGGCCATGATAAGGGATGTTGCCTCCCTGGTTTTCGTACCCGTTCGTTGGGATGTGCCAAATTGTAGTTCGTTGGAGTGTGCTGCTAGTACATGAATAATGAAATTATGTCACATTGTGATAGTATACCTTTTAACTAGTCTTATCATAATTTTTTATTAGCAAGCAAACAGTACTTTGTTTAACCCATCTTATGAATGTATTATATAATATTGTTTTGAATACTACATTGTTTTGAACAGTAATTTCCTATAGATCTCGTTTCAATAATGCGAGTCCATGGCCGCGTTTCACAACGGTTTCCGGATTTTACCGTTTTACATCATTTCGAACCAGAATCAAACGAAAATTGATTTGCCCCCACATGACGCGATCCATCCCTCCAACCAATAGAGTCGTTTCTGCGTCGACTGCACCATAGCATCCCGCACCCCAGAGCCTTCGCCACACCAAGGAACCCGAACTCTGCTCTACTTTCAGCGATGATCACGGCGCAAGGCGTCGCGCCCGTGACCGGGATGGTGCGCTTCTCCCGTGACAGAGGTCCCCCCTCGCGCATTCCGCGAGTCACACTGAAACTGCTCTCAGAATGCAGCAGTCGTCGCAACGCCTATAATATCCGCAGGCACTAGTCCTCATCACCTCACCTGTACCAGGTAGCACCAAACGCCCTGCGATATCTGCAAATCTGCCACCTTTCTCCGGCGTCCCCCCGTGTGATTGTTTTGCCGCACCTTTCACTCGTGCCGTCCGGTATCGCCAATCCTCGTCGTGCTGTCTCTCGCAGCTATCGAGCCACCAGCGCCCGCTCCAACTCGCGCGGCCGCTCAAAGGCGAAGGGCCAGTGGCGTCCGCCGGAAACAGCAGCATGGAGAAGGGCAAGGCCGTGCTTGCGCTGTTCGCCGTCATTGCCGTCATCGCTGGTACGCATCATCATTTTGCGCGCTCATTCCAGCCATGATGTACATCCGATGCCAGTCGTCATCCTGCTCGCACGTTCAATGCACCTCACACGAGTTGGGCGCTAGTCGCACTCGCACGGCACACACGCCGCCATCCATGGACGGCACTGACCACGCCCCCTGGCTCATTGTCCATCGCATCTCACGTTCTCCCATTCTCGCAGCGAGTCGCCTGCAGCCGTCGCATGCAGCAGTCGCAAAAGCGACGAGCGTGGATGCCCAAGTGCTGGTTGGCACGCAGATGACGATCAGCGGCCTCTCTTTCAGCCGTCGCAGGTTGCAGCCGTTGCACGCAGCATCTGGTAAGGCGACAAGCCGCGAGGATGACCGCGTGGTTGGCACGAGGATGACGATCGGCCCCTCTTTCTCCTTCAACCCGAGCCGCTGTGTCGCCATTCCAGCCAGCGGCGGGACGAGGAGCGTGCAGGTGTCGTGGCAGCAGGAAGGCGACGCGGTTTGCACGATGATTCAACTCTTCAAGAGTCCCAGGTGCACGGGGAAGGCGGTGGACACTCTCCTGCCAGGCCACAACAGGTGAGGGCCTTTCGGTCTCAATGTGTGCTTCTATTTGTTTCCTTGAGACCCTGGTTTTAACGCCATTCCTTCATCCCACACCTGACCAACGACCTTGCCCTCACGTCCACCCCGTACCCAGATCCAAGCCCCTCAGCAAGGCAGTCAAGTCCGCCCGCTGCATTATTGGTGCCACCAACACCACAGCTCCTGGCATCAACGCCACAGCTCCTGGCAGCAACACCACAGCTCCTGGCGGCAACACCACAGCTCCTGGCAGCAACACCACAGCTCCTGGCAGCAACACCACAGCTCCTGGCAGCAACACCACAGCTCCTGGCGGCAACACCACAGCTCCTGGCAGCAACACCACAGCTCCTGGCGGCAACACCACAGCTCCTGGCAGCAACACCACAGCTCCTGGCAGCAACACCACAGCTCCTGGCAGCAACACCACAGCTCCTGGCAGCAACACCACAGCTCCTGGCGGCAACACCACAGCTCCTGGCAGCAACACCACAGCTCCTGACGGCAACACCACAGCTCCTGGCAGCAACACCACAGCTCCTGACGGCAACACCACAGCTCCTGGCAGCAACACCACAGCTCCTGGCAGCAACACCACAGCTCCTGACGGCAACACCACAGCTCCTGGCAGCAACACCACAGCTCCTGACGGCAACACCACAGCTCCTGGCGGCAACACCACAGCTCCTGGCAGCAACACCACAGCTCCTGGCAGCAGCAACACCACAGCTCCTGGCAGCAACACCACAGCTCCTGGCAGCAACACCACATCTCCTGGCAGCAACACCACATCTCCTGGCAGCAACACCACAGCTCCTGGCAGCAACACCACAGCTCCTGGCAGCAACACCACAGCTCCTGGCAGCAACACCACAGCTCCTGGCAGCAACACCACAGCTCCTGGCAGCAACACCACAGCTCCTGGCAGCAACACCACAGCTCCTGGCAGCAACACCACAGCTCCTGGCAGCAACACCACAGCTCCTGGCAGCAACACCACAGCTCCTGGCAGCAACACCACAGCTCCTGACGGCAACGCCACAGCTCCTGGCAGCAACACCACAGCTCCTGGCGGCAACACCACAGCTCCTGGCAGCAACACCACAGCTCCTGGCAGCAACACCACAGCTCCTGGCAGCAACACCACAGCTCCTGGCAGCAACACCACAGCTCCTTCTGAGTATCCTGATGGAGATAGTTCAAGCTGTAAGCCCCAATGCGGTTGTTCACCATCACGTTATCCATTCTCGCTAACACCAATCCGTGCGTGAGGGGCCTGTTTTTTGGAGCTGAAATCGCTTCAGCCCCTGGGAGGCACACCATTGGCTTTGCCTAGAAGCAAATTTTGCAGCAGTGATGCTCCTCATCTTCTCTGCTCTTTCCTGCCTCACCTTGTATCCTCGGCGCCACTCCAGTGCTTGCCCTCCTCTGCTCCTTGTGTGTGTCCCCCGCCAGCGGAAGTGTGTGGCTACGACAGAGTCAACCCGTGCTGGGGGGGCACGTGCATCCACCGTGGCACCTTCGACTACACCTGCGTCTGTCTGCCCGGGCGTCGCGCTCGTCGCGACTTCTGTGGTAAGCTCGCTCTCTGCTACATGCAGACAGTTTTTAATCACTGTCAACTCAAGGTGTGTGTTTCCCGGGATCAGATGTGTTTGCTGTGATCGAGTATGGTGAGCTCTTATCATCAATGGCCATGAACGAGGCATCTTCACCTTCCCCATTGAGCGCGTGCAGGTCACACTTTGAACAAGGAAGACATTTCTTCCATAACAGTCCTAGGCAGCGACTGGAGGTGCAAGGACGTGTACAGCATGTATGGCCTCACGCTGCAGCAGTTCACCCATATGAACCCGGTGAGACCGGCAACATGTTACGTCAGACTATCGTAATACTGCAGGTCCGTACCTTTGTTGAGCATGTTGAGTCGTTGTGCCTGCGCGCTCTTCCCTCACTCCCAGCCCCTCTTTCCCACCCTATCCCTCTCGCTCACCCTCTCCATCTCTCTTACCCTCTCCCTCTCTCTCACCCTCTCCCTCTCTCGCTTTCGCTTCCCCTCCAGGGAATCGACTGCTCCGCTCTCCTTCCTGAATATCAGGAGCTGGTGGTGCGAGAGCTTCTGCCGGCTTGCTCTGCCTTCTACTACATCCAGCCTGTGAGTTTGCCATGTTGTATGCGCTATCAGAGAATCACATGCATCACGTATGGATAGCGGTGGTGCTACCAGTGGCACCATGTGCTGCCATGTGCTGTGCTTCCTCTTCACCCTTCTGTCCCCCCCAGACAATCCTTCGCCCAAGCAGCAGGAATAACACTTGCTACTTAGCGTCCATAGCATTCTACTACCCCTGTGTTGCCGTATCCTCTTTCACCCCCTTCGACCACCTCTTTCCTTCTCAATCGCCATCTCCCTTTGCCTTTCCTTCTGCACAGGGTGACACATGCTCGTCCGTGGCTCAGTTTCTCAACATCACTGAGAAAAGCCTGGAGCAGTTCAACCCCGATGTTACCTGCCCCTCACACCTCCCGGCGTTCCGCTCTCTGTGTGTGGAGCGCGATCCAGCCAAGGCCAGGCCGACGTGTGCGAAAGAGATAGAGATTGGCAGAGTGGTGGACTTCAAGCACATAGAAGCATCTTATGGAGCAACTCTCGTGGACATTTGCAGGCTCAATCCCTGGATCTCCTTTCGCCATCCCCGGCATGACAATTATGGCGTGAGTGTGGCTGGCCACATTTATAGCTTCTCTATTGTGAGGGTTGTTATGGTCTCCATGCTTGTACTACAGCAATGCACTGTTGACATGTCGTGTAGCATCTAACATCTCCTCATATTGGTTCACTCTTGATTGCAGCTTTGTGTGGCTACCTCATATAACTAAGCACCTCGGCAGGCGTATGCGTCCAAGTCCACTGGAGCCCCAGTTCAAAGCCATGGTGTCAGCACACTGGCCTCTGCTGCTGTTCCTTTTCAATCACTTTTTGGTGGATGCTGTGCCAGGAACGTATTTCGCTTAGATGGACCCCTGTTGTGCTTTTTTTGTCAGAACTATATAGCTTATACTATTGTGTAGGCTATAGTGGGGTATCCCATAGGGGGTACAACCCAATTAGGGTTTCCTATTTGTACTCACTTCTTTCATAGTCATTTCATTCTCGTTCTCTCTTTCACATGGAATCAGAGCAGGTCCCCTACTAGGGACTGTTTCTTGGGCCCACCGAAGCGCGCCCCGAGGCGCGCGTCCTTTTTTTTTAGCGACCCGTCGTGTCGCCCTCCCTAGCGGCCTGTCGAGCCGCCCTACCTTGCGGCCCCGCCGCCCTATCACGCGGCCTCGCCGCCCTAAGTCGCGGCCTGCCCGCCGCCCTACTTCGACGGCCCCGCCGCCCTACGTCGTGGCCCGCCGCCCTACTTCGACGGCCCGCCCGCCGCCCTACGTCGCGGCCCCGCTGCCCTACGTCCCGGCCCGCCCGCCGCCCTACTTCGAAGGCCCGCCCGCCGCCCTACGTCGCGGCCCCGCCGCCCTCAGCTACGCGGCCCTGCCGCCTTCTGCTACGCGGCCCTGCCGCCCTCTGCTACGCGGCCCCGCCGCCCCTCGATAGCGGCCCCGCCGCCCTCTGCTACGCGGCTCCGCCGCCCTCTGCTACGCGGCCCCGCCGCCCTCTGCTACGCGGCCCCGCCGCCCTCTCCTACGCGGCACCGCCGCCCTCTGCTCCGCGGCCCCGCCGAGCCGCCCAGCATCAGCCGAGCCGCCCAGCAGCAGCCGAGCCGCAGCCGAGTCGCCGCCGCCTGAGCCGCCGCCCGGGCCGCCGCCGAGCCGCCGCCGCCTGCGCCGCCCGAGCCGCCGCCGAGCCGCCCAGCAGCAGCCGAGCCGCCGCCGAGCCGCCGCCGCCCGAGCCGCCGCTGAGCTGCGACCGAGCCGCCGCCCGAGCCGCCCGAACCGCCCGAGCCGCCCGACCCGCCGTGCTGCTGTTCCTGAGCTGTGTTCTTCTGCTGCTGACCTACCCGACTCTCCCAGCCCGGTGAGACTTCCAGCTGCTGCCATGGCCACCCCCAATGTTCTTACTTTTGACGCTGAGGGGAGGGCCATTGACTTTGCCGTCTGGATTGAAGACCTGCAGCTGTACTTACTGTGTGATGCGATAGATGAGGTCTCTCTTTTTGACTTTGTCTCTGGCGCTGTTCCTGCCCCACCTGCTGATGCTGACTCTGCCGTTCGCTCCAAGTGGGCGACCCGCGATGCTGCTGCACGTCTTGCTGTGCGTCGCCACCTCCCTTCCTCTGAGCGTGCCCACTTTAGTCAGTGCAAGACCGCTCAGGCCTTGTACGACGCTGTAGTTGCACGCTACTCCTCCCCTTCCTCCGCTACCCTTAGCCGCCTCATGCTACCGTTTCTCTTCCCTGACCTCGCTTCCTTTCCCACTGTCACTGACCTCGTTACCCACCTCCGTGCTAGTGACACCCGCTACCGCGCTGCCCTTCCTGCTGAGTTCCGCGCTGCGAACCCTCCTCCCATGTACATCACTCTCTACTTTCTCGTCACCCGTCTCCCTGAGTCCCTTCGTGTCGTTAGGGACCAGTTTCTCTCTGTCTGTCCCACCACTCTCACCGTCGACCTCCTTGAGGAGTCCCTGCTAGCGGCTGAGAAGAGTATTGTCGCTGTAGGGGCCTCTCGGGGTGACCCTCGCACCCCCATCTTTGAGGGGTGTGGTCCTTCCCCCCTGCTGCCCTCTGTCGCCTCTGCCGCTGCGGCCGACCTCACTGGTTTTGAGTCGGTCGGCGCGGCGTCTGCCCCCAGCGGCAGACGCCGCTCTGGCAAGAGCAAGGGGGGCAAGGGAGCGGGTGGAGCTCGAGGGGGCGGTGGAGGAGGCGGTGGGGGTGGCGGGGGGAGTGGGGGTGGCGGTGGGGGTGGTGGCGGGAGTGGAGGTACTGGTGGCGGCGGTGGAGGCGGAGGTGGCGGCGGAGGTGGTAGCGGAGGAGGCGGTGGGAGCGGTGGGAGCGACGGTCCTGGTGGGGGAGGTGGCGGTGGAGACGGGGGTGGCGGTGGAGGCGGGGGTGGCGGTGGAGGCGGGGGTCGGAGTGGCTCGTCCCAGCGGAGCAGCTCTGGGGGTAGTCAGCGCCAACAGCAGCAGCAGCAACAGCAGCAGCCGCAGCAGCAGCCACAGCAGCAGCAGCGCTCTCGCACCGTTCCCGGCCCTCAGCAGCTCCGTGAGTGGTACTTGCAGCGTCAGCGTGGTGGTGCGCTTGGTCCCTGCCCCTACGTTCTTCGCACAGGTGACCGTGCAGGGGTGAGGTGTGGAGGCACCCACACAGCCCGCCGCTGCTTTGGCCGCCTGACCGACGCCTGGCGTCAGCAGTTTCCGGAGGCCGCTGAGATCCCCCGCTGGGGAGAGCTGTCTAGGGCTGGTGTAGCTATTTATGATCTTGATTTTGATGCTATTCTCTCTGCTATGTATGCTGTGACTGGTAGTGATGAGGATGACTGTTACCGGTGTTTCCCGCCCGACCCGGGCATTGGTACTGCCGCGTCAGGTACTAGTGAGGCTGCTGCTCTAGGTGCCAGTGCGTCTGTGCTCTCAGGTGCTGGTGAGTCTGCCCTCTCAGGTACTGTGTCGGCTTCGGCCTCTCACACCTTCACCCTTGACTCTGGAGCGTCTCGCTCCTTCTTTAGGGACCGCACCACTCTCACGCCGCTGAGTCGGCCGGTTGCGGTGTCCCTGGCTGACCCCTCTGGGGGGCCTGTCCTGTCTCGCTTCTCCACTGTCCTCCCGTGTCCGGCGGCCCCCTCTGGCACCCTGACTGGTCTCTACCTCCCCTCGTTCTCGACGAACTTGGTGAGTGGTGCTGACCTCCAGGATGCGGGTGTCCACCAGTTCACCCCTGCTCGTCAGCGGGTGACCCACTGCACGGAGGCGGATACAGGTCGCCACCTGGCTACGTTTACACGTCGGCCAGGGTCGAGCCTGTACACACTGACCACTGCTTCTCCTCCAGGTGCTGAGTCTGGTAGGGTCCCTTCGTCTGGTCAGGTGTTTGCTGCAGCGTCCAGGTCTGGTCCTGAGTCTGCCCCCTGCTCGTGTCGTCGTCTGTCTCACGAGACCCTCCTCTGGCACCACCGCCTTGGCCACCCCTCTCTGCTTCGGCTCAGAGGCATGGCCTCGCGAGTCCTTGTGTCTGGTCTTCCCCGGTCTCTCCCTCCCCTTCCTCCGGGCCCTGGCCCTACCTGTGTCCCCTGTGTCGAGGGGCGCCAGCGTGCTGCCCCTCACTCCTCCCAGTTTCCTCCGACAGAGGCCCCGTTGCAGACGCTTCACATGGACGTGTGGGGCCCAGCCCGCGTCCATGGACAGGGTCAGGAGCGCTACTTCCTGCTGGTGGTTGACGACTACTCGCGTTACACCTCAGTCTTCCCCTTGCGCAGCAAGGGTGAGGTCACTGCGGTGTTGATCGACTGGATCCGCGCAGCTCGTCTCCAGCTTCGGAGGAGCTTTGGCTCTGACTTCCCTGTTTTGCGTCTGCACTCGGACAGAGGTGGAGAGTTCTCCTCTGGCCTCCTGAGTGCCTACTGTCGTGCACGAGGCATCCGTCAGACCTTCACGCTTCCGGACTCACCACAGCAGAATGGGATTGCTGAGCGCCGCATTGGCATTGTCATGGACGTCGCTCGTACGTCCATGATGCATGCGGCTGCTCCCCATTTTCTGTGGCCGTTTGCGGTCAGGTACGCTGCGCACCAGATCAACCTCCACCCCAGGGTCTCTCGACCGGAGACCTCCCCAGCCCTGCTGTGGACGGGGAAGGTTGGCGATGCGTCGGCGTTCCGGGTCTGGGGATCTCGGGCGTTTGTTCGCGACGTGTCTGCGGACAAGCTGTCACCTCGTGCTTCTCCCTGCGTCTTCCTGGGGTTCCCCCCCGACGCCCCTGGGTGGCAGTTTTACCACCCCACCTCTCGACGTGTTCTGTCCTCCCAGGACGTCACGTTCGACGAGTCGGTACCCTACTACCGCCTCTTCCCCTACCGCACTCCGTCCCTCCCCCCACCCCCGCTCTTCCTGGTACCAGGTCCCCCCTCGGTAGTCCCCCTCCCCCCTCAGGGTCCTGCCCCTTCAGGTGTGTCCCAGGTAGACGCGGTCGAGCCTGTCGAGGTCACTGGTGACTCTGGTGCTGCTGCGGGAGCTGAGCCTGGGGGTGCGGAGTCTGGGGGTGCTGAGCCTGGAGGTGCTGAGCCTGGAGGTGCTGCGCCTGGGGGTGCTGAGCCTGGGGGTGCTGTGCCTAGGGGTGCTGAGCCTGGGGGTGCTGCGTCTGGGGGTGCTGTGCCTGGGGGTGCTTCGTCTCGCCGGGAGCCACTCTCCCCGCAGGAGCTGCGTGAGTGGTTTGCCAGGCGCTGGAGGTGTGCTGCTGGTGCTGGTGGTTCTTTGGCTGCAGAGGGTACTGCTGCCTCGCTTCCCGCCGGTGCTCGTACTGTGGGTGCTGGAGCTGCTGGGTCTGAGAGTTCTCCTGGAGCTGGTGCTACTGAGGGTGTTGGCGCTGAGCCTGCCGTTGGCGGTCCGACTGACAGCGCTCCTGGTGCTGCTGCTGGAGGTTCTGGAGCTTCTGGTGGTACTGCTGGAGGTGCTGCTGGAGTGGGTACTCCTGCCGGGGCTGCTGGTACTGTTCCTGCTGTTTCTGATGTCGCCGCGCGGCCCCGACCTTACTTCGTTCCGCTCCTGCAGCAGGTTCTTG